GGCGCGCTGGTGGATGGACGGTTACCAGCGCGGCCGTAACAGTAAGAGCCGTAAGCTTTACTTTTAAGACGTAGTTCTGGCGAGGTACGCGTGGGTTTTCAATGCGTCCGACACAGAGAATAAGGCATTGTATGGTCGAGGCTGATTCCGCGGGCGCTGACTCGGCTCCGGCTTCTAATGCTGCGATATCGTGCGTCTCTAACGTAAGTAACTTTATTAGGTAGATCTGCAACACAGAGCCATCCTTCCCAACACGCAATCAAGTTGGGGAAAGCGCAACAGAGACAAATGTTCGGGACGTTGCCGTCGTCTTTCATGGCTGTGTCGGCACCGCTCGTGCCGCCGAAGGTCAGTGGATCTGCCGGGCTAAAAGAGCGGAAACAACATAATTCGATCAAGTGCATAACCACGCTGTCTGTGTGGTGGGCTCAACAGGCACTGCTTACCGTGTCGATAGGTTCTTTAAGTCACGGGCGGAGAAACAAGGGGGGGGGAGGGGGCCAAGGGGGCATGCCCCCCACTTTTCAAAGTGGGGGGCCAGTAATGTTAACTGTTTCCCCCCACACTTTTCAGATTATGGTTGCATTTGGCTTACTTTTGCACTGCATTAAACATGCATGCTGATTTACCTAGTTCACCAGCCATCTCCCTTAAGGTGCGTCATCTTTTTCGCTTGCTCGTTGGCCATCACTTAGTATTACAACCGCAAGGCCGACGCCGCAGGGCCTGGAGACTGCAACGCCAGGCGTCGCTGTTATTGCCATGACTTGCGAGCACGCATGTTCAACACCATATTTCGTAATTTTCTTATCAGTAATCGGCTCTGACAGGATCTTGAGCATTATAAGACGAACATGGGCTAGCCATGTTAATGCAAATTATGAACCGCATTCCATCTGCAATCTAAAGTCAGGGGGAACTTAATATCTCTGAAGAACACAGAAAAACATGAAACTGGAGTCTGTGTGAATACTATCGGACTGTCTGCGGTGATCAAGGATATTGTTGCGTCAATGAGAGTTCCTGTGCTGATCCGGGGCTAACTGCGCGAGTCAGAAGGCCTCCCGTGTCAGGGATGGGAACACTGTGATATGATATATCCTTCTAATGACCTCCGGTGGACCAGGAGATCCCGCCCCGTGCCACCAGAATAAACAGAAGACACTTCGCGATGGGACGGAATGGCCCTTCAGCCCTTGACCGGAACGGTGATGCACCCCTGGTGTTCTACTTAGGAGGCCCATTGCCCGGAAGGGAATACGGGGTCTCATTATTGTTGAGTAGAATGGGGCTCTCATTGTTGTTGAAAAGTACGGGTCGAAATGAATTTTAAAAAACGAGCAAGGTTATGACATGTTTGCCTGAGAACGTTCATTTCTTTCAGAATGTGTTATTGAAACACATTACATCAAAAGGCTTGAACATGCCCGCCCGCAACCCCGAGAATTGGCGGGTGGTGTGGATGGATGGTCTGGGTTGCAACTTCCGTAAATCGATAAGTTTCGGCCACTGAAATTGCCACCAGACGGCGGGCCCCGTGTTATTCTGTCTTTTGGACAGATCAATAGCTGCGAAAACACGAAAAATAAAGATTTTACATTCACTCTTCCAGTTCAACCACCAGATTCCAGCCCCACGTCGTGGTGCTTTAGGGGCCAATCCGTTCTTTTCATCAATGTAAAAATTGCACGCGTGAAAGATGCCCTCAGACTGCCTTCTAAATACAAGATTTGACGTCATGAAGCGTCCAAGGATACTTTCTCAGAAGCGTCGTCATTTTCGTCCACCCGCTGGCCACAACTTAATATTAGCTGCTAGGCCGACGCTGCGCGGCCTACGGGGACTGCAACGCCTGGGGTCAAGGCTGGTGATTCTAAAATTTTCGAATGCGCAGGCTCAAAATTACGCCACATAGATTGTATAACTAGTTGATTAAAGTGTTCAAAGGCAATCATTTTAGAAGCGTCATCATTTTCGTCCACCGGTTGGCCACGGCTAGATGTTAGATACTGGGCTAACGCTCCGCTGTCTATGGAGACTGCAACACCCGGTGTTGAGGTTTTTGTTGCTAAGATTTGCGAGCGAGCATGTTAAAAAACACGTTGCGTGAATTGTATCACTAATCGATTCTGACTAAGTGGTGAAGATTTTCAGACAAACATGGCTTGGCTGTGTTAATACACATTGTTGACCACTCGATTTGCAATCAAATTTTCGTCTTCAAATTTGGATCAAACATATCGATCTACAATCTACCTTCGAGATGTCCTCAATGTCTGTGGAACCCAGATAAAAATTGACAAAGCTTCTGAATACTATCGGTTTAGAAAGAGTCAGCTAACCATTGTAAGTTAAGAACGCGCGGTGATTTCTTCCATGCAGCCGTTCAACGCCTGATTTCTGCAGCTTATTGACCTCAAAATGCAAACAGAATTGAGCTCACGGTAGCTCCTGGTTTCTGTTCGGATCACAAGGTAAAAATAACAATAAAACGAATAGAACCGTGTCACTTGTCTTACAAGTTAGATATCCGGGGATTTTTTTTGGGGGGGTCACCATAAGATGGGCTTTTGTCATCCCTGTGTTCCCCCTTGGCAAGGCTCTGGCTACGACCCTGCCTACACACAAAAGCAGATCAAGTCGCATACGTTGCATGATGGGCAATGAAGTGTCTGTTGGGCCAATCCATACCTAAGGCAGACAGCTTCCCGGAGGCTATTTTTCTGCGATGGTGTGGTATAAGGGAAGATAATTCGGGAAAAATGCTATTGCAGGTGTCCAACACATGTTTCACACACCATGTGGAAGTGACGCTGATCCAAAAGTATGCAACAAAGTAGCCACACGATCAGCTCGCAGTCAGTCATGCGGGAGACATCCAGGCCAGGGCAGTGACCACTGACGGCGGACAGGAGCAGGGCCCAGATAAGGAACATATGACAGATGGGCCTATTATGTGGCTTGATTCTTAAAAGAGAATCCCCAGTTTTATGGATTTTGTCACATTGTTTCTAGCAGTTTCAAGCTCTCGAATTTTTTTCTGCCTAAAATGCTGCGACAAGTTTTGTATCTTGAAAAGCAGCCAGCGAAATGAAAGCGCATGAAAAAACCTGGCGCACTGTGAGCCATCGATCCACTTTCAAAATTCCCACCAGCCTATATCCATGCCGTATTTTGGCACCTACACTGCGAAGGCAAATGCTTCCTTAATGGCCGAAAATACCTATCTGCTCCTGGAATTTCGTCTCCCCAGGAAAGACAGTGTTAAAATGGAATAATAATGTAAGGAAGCTGGGCAGCTTTATTTGCCAAATGACAGATGAGTCGAATAGGCAAGATTGTGCACCAGTGATAAACAGTTCTAGATACATAGCTAGCATAGCAGAGCCATGACATTTGAATAAAGGGCGATAACAATCTCCATCCCTACCGCCCCCCCCCCCCTACCCCCCCCCCCCCCCCCGCCCCCCCCCCCCCCCCCCCCCCCCCCCCCCCCCCCCCCCCCGGTTATCGGGCCCGCTTTCCAGAAAAAGCTCCTGAAGTGCACCCTGAGCTTGCCCCCCCCCCCACACACACTTTTTGAAACGTTCCTACGCCTATGCTTTAAGCACTATTCCACCCAAGCAGACATGCAAATTGATGTACATTTGAACAAGGGCAGATGAGGACATATGCAGACTTCTTGAGTTGGAGGACTAACCTGGTGTGATGTGGCTTAGAGCTATGCATCGTTTATTCAGTCCGCATATAGCTGTCTTATAGAAAAGACAGAGTATTAGCCTTATTCCTCGGAAAACCGGGAGAATAGAGATATAGTTAGGTTGATATTTCGGTAACATGCCTTTCTCGGTACAATAGCAGAAGCAGCCCTGCAGGGTGCATCAAATTGGTACATCAACGGACAATCTATTTTCCTTTTTTCCGAGGAATAAGGCTGATACTTCTGTCTTATCTATGTGACTATGTTCCTCGCTAATGCACTGAACAACTTACACACATAGCTGCGTAGAAGCTATGCAGTTCTGCACGGCATTTTCCCATGTTCCACAAAAACTGCAACTCATTTCTTCCACAACGCATGGTGGCAATGATCCTGCATGCGTACAACACCGCCCCACACCAGGACCGCGATCGCCACTTCGCTAACGCGTGCCTGCAGTGCAATGTTCCAGACCGCCGCCGGCCATGGGTGAAGCGCGGTGTTCAGCCTCGCCCGGGGCGGCCGGAGCGACGCGCCGCTGCGGCGGCCGCGTGCCGACACCGGCTGGATATGCCTCGGCTATGACTGACGCGCACCGAGCGCCGTCCATATTGAGCGGCCCCCGCTGAAAGCCGTGAATGGGCCGCACCGACGTAGGGTGACGCCCGCGACTGCACCCTGCAGGCCTGCTCTGACAGCGGCGACGGCAGCTGGCAGCGGCCGACGGCATACTAGCCTCCGGTGCTACCACCTCGCAGTCTCACCAGATCTACACCATAAATTGAAATGCCTGCGACTGATTGTGGGTAGTTGCGAATTCCAGACAGACACGCGCAAATGAGAGTATCGGGAACATTCGATGTTGTCTCACGACGTGCAGAAGTACGCACGCGCGGCAGTCAGTGCAAATGCTCCAGCTGCCCCCCCCCCCCCCCATTTCGCATCCTGTGTGCGCCTTTGGTAGCAGCAGCAGCAGCCTCTGCTTGGTGGTCCGCGACGCGCCGTAATCTCCCGATGGGTTCTCGTCTCATGGGAGTGCAGGACACGACCCAGCGCGGAGATGAACTCGTAAAAGTCGTCATTATTCGATATAAAACCCTGTCCGTTATCGATGAGTTTCGGTAAGATGAGGCGCACCAAATGTTGCATGGAAAATCCGTATCAACTGGACGCGTCTGGAGAGAATGTTACCAGTAGCGCACCAACTGCAGCCCAAACCTCGCATCCGCCCAGCCGCTTAGCACCTGGTATTTTTGGCTGCGCCCAAGTATGGCGCTCTTATTACAGGATGCCAAGAGCGGGGCACCACCATAAAATTCAGAAAGAGCGGGGTCCGAAGCTCGGATGGACGTGTGACGCTAAGCCGAGACGATGGGACTACCTAAACCCAGAAAGCAGGTGCCTCGAGCCGACATAGCCTGGCATACCCGGTACGAGGTTAAGCTGTGGCCCAATCTGATGCACAGAGAGGCTCCAGCGCAGGTAGCCGGGCGTCTCGAACTCCTAGAAGAGGGGCGCTTCTGGCTGTGATGGAGGAGGGCCACAACATCGCAGCAAGGCGGCGCCGAAAGAGGACGGAAACAGATGGGCACCCCTAAACCCAGATAGGGTGGCACCCGTTAGCGTGGGTAGATGAGTGCCCCCAGTT